TGGGAGCAGAGGCATTTGTGGAATTTGCCTCCTTGTTGCACCAAGGTCTGGGCCTCTTCCTGCTGTGGCTGAGGGTCTGGGTTGCTCAGCCTGCTACCCTGCGGTGCACCTGCAGCCCTCCCCGCAGTGGGTAGCTTGCTGTAGCGTGCTGTGGTGGCCCACTGGCCAACGTCCTGTGCTCTGCTGTGCTGGGGTGGGAAACGAACCATGCACGTGGTGTCCATTGTTGACCTGCTCCTGAGACACAGAAGATCAAGGGAACAGCCTCTAAGACCATCCTTTACCTGGAGGCATTTGCAAGGCGCTTCATTGTCACTTAGTCCACATGGTTCCTGATGTTTGTACAGCTGTGTTCCCCACCACTCCCTCAATGCACAAAGCAATTTGAATTTGCTGTTTTTTTCTGAAAATTTCCATTCACATGCTTAGATTGTACTTGAGTTCTCAGAACTGACAGTGTGCAAACTAAGTTCAGATAGCAAGGATGACCACATTGTGGAAGGAAGCCTGTAGACCCCAGGTTGATGCAAGCCAGCTTCAGGTCATTCCAGGGCAGTGACACTCAGGACAACGCAGCTTCCTTCCCCTTTGCTGTCAGCGGAGAGGTTAGCACATGGCAAAAAGCTCATGGGAAAATTAAATTAAAAAACAAGGTGGGGCCCGCATGGTGGTATAGCATGTAAAGTTGCCACCTGCAGTGCTGGCATCCCATACAGGCTCTAGTTGCAGCTTTTCTGATCCAGTTCCGTGGATCACATGAAGCTGTTTGGACCCTGTCACAAACATGGGTGACCCAGATGAGGCTCCTGGTTCCCAGCTTCAGCCTAGCCCAGCACTGGGCAGCCCTGGCCATTGTAGTCACTGAGGGAGTGAATCAGCAGATGGAAGATCTCCCTCTGTGTAACTTTCAAATAAGCGAATCTTTCTTTCAACGTTGTCAAATATAAACATCAAAGTATTATTTCCATACACTTTTGAAGATCCTTCCTATGTGTGGATCTCAAAAGTTTTTGCTCCAAATTAAATTTGTATTTTAATTTTGTTTTTTTGGATGAATGCTTTTACTTACTCCTGGCCTTTGCATTTAAAAGCAGACAAATGAGATCTACAACCTTCAGCAGCCCAAAGAGACGCCCACACCATACACATAAACAGGTAGATAGATACACAGATAGATAGGCAGATACATGGATGTATTTACCAAGGCACCAGGCTGCCTGTACAGTGCTGGAGTTCTTACTGTTAAAATCACAGTCAAATCCATTGTGACATGTGAATTCCACCTTTGCTGCATTTGATAGCAAGAAGCATGCTTAACACACCCTCCACTTCCCCCCAAGAGGAAGCAAGAAGCCAGACCACATGCAGGAACTGAGTGTGCCAATCCATTCCCAATGAAATGCTGACCAAAGAGATCTGAATGAGAGTAGAAGTACTATTATTTGAGATAAAGACCCATCAGGGGCCCTTGCTGTGCCACTCCATAGTAATTAGTTTTGACAGATGGAAAAAAGAAAAGACAGGGAAATAATAGCAAACGCAGTCAGAGTACATTTACTACATGGCAAGTGATTTCTTTTTTGACCAAGGCACGGAGGGAACGGGGTGAAAGAAGCACAGCAGCGTCAAGGGCACAAAAGATGAGAGTTAATTTCGTGTTGGAGTGGCGATGGAGTTCGAGCACTTGCCTCTCACTGAAGATTTGTACACCATGCTCTCTTGAGCGCTCTACAATGGCCTTGAATGTTTCCAGAGTCAGTGCGAGAAATCACAACACTGCCTCAAGGTACAGCCGTCCTTCGGATCCACGCTCAACCAGATCTGAGTCATAGATGGAGTACGTGTTTACAAAATTGGTGAGCAGCTAAGCTAATGAAGGACATGCAAGTCAAGCTCTGTTTGTTATTTTGGCTTATTTAGAAAAGAGCTCTGAAAGATGCAAAGCAATACCCACTGCCACTTGGCTTTGGACTAGCTGTGCAGCTTCCCTCACAAACTCCCCCTGCAGTGCCAGACGTTTGCATCGTCGTCCGGCCAAAGTTCATGTACCAGCACCTTCCCAGAGAGCACTTTCAAGTGTAGATACGCCTCTGACACCACCGCCAGGCTTCCCAAGCAACTGCTGGCACCCGACAGAGCTGAAAATAAAATCTTAACTTCCTAACACCTTCTGTTATCATCAAATCCTCAGATTTCCTCTCCCATTCTTATATTTATTCAATCGACCTACATGATTGGGTACTGGATTAGCCTCCGGTTACCTGAACGTGACTCAATAGAGTGAAGCTCCTAGTCTCTCCCAGCTTATGCCCTGTGCGAAACTGTGCGCAAAAGCAACAGTATAAAGCTGAGCCAATCCAAGGCCAGGAGGCAGGAACCTCCAGCAGGAATCCCACGAGAGTCCAGGGGCCCAAAGACGTGGGCCATCTTCTGCTGCTTTCCCAGGGACAAACAGGGAGCTGGATGGGAAGTGGAGCCGCTGGGACACAAACTACGAGTTAGTGCAAGAAGTTACAGCACCTCGTCAAGATACAGCCATCTTTTGGATTCGTGCTCAACCAGATCTGCGGCACAAATAGAATACAAGTCTGTAAAATTGGTGAGCAGCTAAAGTGATGGAAGGAAGGAAGGAAGGAAGGAAAGAAAAGAAAGAAAGAAAACAGCCACAGTGCCAGCCCCATGAGCAATGCATCCCTTTTGCATTACACCTAAGATAGCAACTTAAATTCATATCTAGTTTGCCCCTGCCCAACAGCTCAGTATGGGTCTCCCATCTGGGTACAAGGCCCAAGGACTTGGACTGTCTTTCTCTGATTTCCCAGCTGCATCCACGAGGAGCTGGGTCAGAAGTGGAGCAGCCAAGACTTGAACCAATGCCCATATGGGATGCTGGCTGCACAGGCAGCAGCTTTACCCACGCTGCCATGGCGCCAGCCCCAAAAGGGTTTTGATGAAGTAAAAATGCACATGCATTAGATGCCTAAGGCTGAAATTGCTTCATGGCCAAGGAAGAGCCACTGGTAGTGGTGTATTTCCCAGGTCGTCCGTGTGGATTACAGATTGAGTCACTCACTGGCAAATTGGAGCTCACAGCTCAACTGGGATGGGAACCAGTGGTCAACTGGCGCTCTCAGGAGCCTGCATGGGATATTCCAGGAGGCTTCAGAAATTAAAGAATTAATACAAGTATGGGAGGCTCCATTCTGTGAATATCCCTGCACAGGACCAGGCAGTCACTTGTTTGTTTTTTCCTCTGGTTTTGAACCCAGATTCTGACACTTTCTTCTGGGATCAGGGGGAAGTTAACACAACCCCTCTGAGCCTGTGAGATGAAGGAAAGTGTGTCCGTCTCTCACGGTCATTGCTCTGTTAAGTCGGGAAACCAGAGAACATGCCAATTGTTTCAACTTCGCTGGGGAACTGGTTGGAGCAGCAGTTATTGAAGAGCAAAAAGCAAAGCTGGTGCAGTGAAGGTGCACCTGGCACCAGAGGCTGGCAGAGCAGAGGGCCAAAATTGCGGGTATTGGAGCCAGGATGCCTGAGAGATGGGCCTGTGGAGCCAATCTATGGAAGGGGTAAGAGCTCCTGAGTGGCTGTCCCTGCTGAAGCTTGGGGGCTCACAGAGCTGAGCCTCCACTGATTCTGGGGAGCACCAAAAGAGAGCTGAACAAGGAGCCCATTGCCACTGCAGGTCATACCCCCAGGAGCTCGATTCTTCAGCTCCAGTCTCCACCTCCTGTTGGTATCTCGAGTAACAGTTAACAAATCGGAAACAGGACTGCTGGGAACCCCAGTTGCACAAACAGAACCCAGAAGACTGACTTGGGAGCCAAGAAACCAACATCTTAATGGATGATCCTTCCACTTTCCCGTGATGGAGTGCTGACTGTCTGTCAGCGTGGGCGGGTGCTGGGGTGCCTGCAGAGTTGTAGAGAAGGCGCTCATTCCTGCCAGTGCACACCCTGCAAGGCTGGGTTAACGACTCAAGCAGGTGGCTTGTTGCCACCCAGGCGGGAAATCTTGATTGAGCCCCTGGTGCCTAGCTTCAACCTGGCCCAGCTGCTGTGTCTCTCAAATAAATAATAATGATAATTTTTGAAACAGCAAGAAAGATGTCATTTTAAAAAATCATTTCATGCAAAACTGTTGTAAGAATTCAACAAGTGTAAAGAATGTTCGGGGAGCTGCCAGGGAGGGCTGAGCCAGGCCTGAGTGCTTAGACAAAAGCCAACAAGACCCATTGTGCGTCCAACGGAGACTACACAGAACAGCCACACACCTGGAACTCACTGGCTGTGAGCGTGCTAGTCCTGTTCTGGTGAGTGCAGGATGGACTTGAGATGCTAGTTAAGGAAGGCAGGCCAGTGGAATAATTCTAAACTTGGTTCTGAGGTAGAGATGAGCCGTTTGCACCTCTTGAATGAGTAGGAATATGGGTAATGTACATTATCTTGCTAACCTCTCTCCTATCTGACACCGCATTGGATGCATACACACAATGGGTGTTTAGGCAAAAGTGACTCCACTGAATAAGCTGGGGGGGGGGGGGGGGGGCTGGGTTGAAATAGAATTGCAAGACTGAGTCTTCACTTGAAAATCTGGGTGGCCCTCCTCCGTGTCTTAGCTATTGTAATGAATAGCTTTATGAAATGCTCTGTGCAACCACCAACTTAGCTCGAAGGCCAAAAGTTCCAGAATGGAAAGAATCTGGGCGCAGTCTAAGCCAACCATCAAGGCACAGTTCCCACTGCACAGACATTGCTAGAGAGTGAGCCTGACGTTGACCTGGCTGTGACAGTGAACATGACAGATCTCAACCTGGCAGAGACCGGGAGGTGCTTGGTACATCACGGACTTACACCAGGAAAGTCTAGGGCAATACATTTTCAAGCACATTTCAGTCATTCATGTAAAACATAAATACCATTGGTGCAAGCCTGGAATGCGTGTTGGCCTGGGATAGAACGCACACAACTGACATGTGGTTTCCTTCTTGGCAGATCCCTTGCAAGACTTCGGTTTCTCCATCGACCAGTGCTCCAAACAAGTAAAGCCCAATCTCAACATCCGATTCGGGATCATTCTGAGTGAGTAGAAGCTGCCGACGTGAGACGCACGACCTCTGTGACTGCTGCCTCCCCAGCTGGCTTACATTATCCATAACTGCTGGCCCCACCACCCCTTGAATTTACTCTGCTTCGATCTTCATCTTCAATTCCCTCTCTGGGTCAGATCTGATAGAGCTCACACTGATTGCTGAATTTTGCACTGAAAACACTCTGGGTGCTCGTTTGGATGATATACCTGCAATCGGTATTTCCAGAAACAAAATATTTAGAGACTGAAGTGGTGATGTGTACTCGGGAAAGAGCTGGCTTGGGCTTCACTGTCCCATAACAGCTCTGCCGACCATGTCAGCCATACTTTGTCAGTCGCATTGCTATTTCCCAAAGAGCTAATGGGAGTTCCTTTTTTCCCCTTCATATACAGCTTTTTTTACCTTAATAGTTTATTTTTTGAGATAGTGAATTTTTAATTTACATTATAATCAAAGGCTTAATGAATAAGTGCAAAGGAAAAAGAACATCCAGCAGGAGAATTGGCAGTGACAGGCTGTAAACCATATCGAATGGAATGGTGTGCAGCTTCACCGAGTTCAGAAACACTGACCCAAGCAGAGAGGAGATACTGTCTGCTCACACCCTGGTTTCTGGTGGTTTCATTTTTATTTGAGGGTGCCATTACAATCAGCCAACACATTTGTTATAGCTGCTGAAGTATCCTTCTGTCTTAAACCAGCTTGATCAAAAGCCAGCACAGAGGAGCCACATAGTATAGCATGAGGAATCACCCCAGAAGAATGTCTTTGTGTTTCTAGAACTTTGCACAGTATGTAGATTCTAGCAGCAGTTCAGGAAATTCCTTGGGTAGAAAGGAAGGAAGGCGGGAGGAAAAGCAGAGAGGACTGGAGCTTCCCGTGTGGCCACGGAGTGAGAACAGACCAGCACCACGGGCAGAGGGAGGGCTCGGCCACATCCATGGCACCACGGGCAGAGGGTAGGCTTGGCCACATCCATGGCACCACGGGCAGAGGGAGGGCTCGGCCACGTCCATGGCACCACAGGCAGAGGGAGGGCTCGGCCACATCCATGGCACCACGGGCAGAGGGAGGGCTCGGCCACGTCCATGGCACCATGAACAGAGGGTAAGCTCAGCCATGCCCAGGGCAACCCAGGGGGAGAAACGTTCCGGAAGTCAGACACACAGACGTCATCATGGGAACTAGTCTCAGGTTAACAAAGCAAAGCGAAGGCGTTGTCCATGCAAAACAGGGAAGTTGAGACAGCCATTCCACTCTGTCCGCTCAAAACAGGCAAGTTGAGACAGGACCACCACCAGGATCATCACGATGTCCTGGTGCATGGCCTAAATGCTGCTCACCAAGAAAGCAGAAAACGTCCCCCATCTGCAGCAGACGAGCAGACGTCGAAGGCCGTTAGCCCATGCTGCTGTGACTACTGCTGGGCAGCGAGACACGGGAGAACAACAGCTGTTCTCTCTCCCTCAGGGGAAGACATCAGCCACCTGTTCCTGGACGTAACTCTGCTCTCCAAGGGCGTGACTATTCTGAACTACTCCTACCCCATCTGTGAGGAGGATCTCCCCAAGTTCTCCTTCTGTGGAAGAAGGAAAGGAGGTACGTGTTTGTCTTGCTGTCAGCATGCGGGAGCCCCCAGAGGGGTGTCCCAGAGCTCACCTCTCAGACCTGGACCCCAGTTTCCACAGAACTGGGGCTCACACCACCTCCACCTTGGACAAGCTTATCCTCACTTAGCCTAACAGTCTGGCCCATCCCGTAAGACACACACACATGAACAGGCCATGCAGAGTCAGTGTTTTCAGGCCTCCGCCCAGCCATCTCCTGGGTGGACTGTTGGGCTCTGAAACAGAGCAAAGCTTCTTTCCAGCCTTCTCCTACTGGCAGGGACATCCAAGAACTGGACTCAATGCACAGACGCAGAAATGCCTTCTGCTTCCTCTCCTGCAAGCCATTGAATGCTTGGCTTCTGCCGTGTGTAGGCAAACACAGACCACTGCCCCGCAGCCGCCCCGCCTCTCCTCCCTGCTTGGCTCATCTGCCTCTTCACCAAGACCACAACTGAGTCCCTCAATCTCAGGTCTGCTCTGCCCTTGCCAACAACTGTTCTCTTTCCTCCTTCCTATCCCTGGAGGTCAAGGAGGAGCCCCCTTGGCCCTCCTTCTCCGCACACCCCAGATACCCCACCCACCCCCTTCTAGATGTCTCCATTCAAGAAAGCTAGACTGCTAAAAGGCACTGCTCCATATGGCATGGCCCAGTTATTCTTCTAAACAAGGGACCTTGAAGGAATCAGAATGCTCTTCCCAAGGGCATAGAAAAGAAGTTTATTCAAGAAAACTGTTTCCCAGACGATAATCAGATGGCAACCAGTGCGTTCGGCCCACAATCTGCAGCTGCCAGGCCAAAGCCGGACCCCTCCTGGCCTCAGCCTCTCCTGCTCACCCCCAGCTGTGGTTTAGGGCACTGCTCTGTGCCTTCCCCAATGCCCTGGCATCTATCATCCGCGCCTGCTCTGGACAATGAGCAGTAGAACCACTTTGTCTTTTTAACTCCCAGCACAGTGCTCTCAGTACCTTTGGGGGAATGGGCTCCAGGAGGCTTTGCCAGGACCCAAAACTGCAGAGGCGCAAGCCCCAAACGTAAAACGGAACTTACAGCCTTGGTGTGGGACCTACACACGCCCTCCTCCCAACTTTAAATTGGCTCTAGATGGCTTGAAACACTTACTCCAATGCGATCGCTGGGCAATCGTGGCCTCGTGTCTTGCTTAGGAAACAGTAGCACAGAAGGAGGTGTGTGCATGTTTATAGTATTTCTGATGGCATGGCTGTTTGTGCGGACACAGAACTTGGGAGTATAGAATCTGTGGACAGGAGGGAAGGCTGGGTTTCACAGGTGTGGCACACACAGGGAGAGAGAGATACAGTCTCTCTCTGTGTCTCTGTGTGCGTGTGTCTCTCTTCCTCCGAGTAGCTTTGTTTTTCAAAGAAATAAGTGATTTAAAAAAATAATAATGAACAAGAACTCTCTTGTCTCTCACCCCACTCCAACACAGAGAAAGTAGCCAAGCAACAACATCAAACACTTGTACCAAGTCTTGCTCCATTCACTAAGTCATTTTCTTCCAGCAGTTTAAGAATCTGTACCCAGGGACCCATGGCTGGAACTCAGGCAGGCTGGCCCCCCATCATCCTCACTCTGAATCAGCAATGAAGGAATGAACAAAAAACTAGCAGTGGAACAGGCAAATGTGGCTTTTCCTTTAAGAAATCTGGCTTTCCAGTGATCTGAGTTTGTTTCAAATTAAGACGTTTGTTTCCTTCCCAAAAAGCTCACTTAAGAGTCAGCAGGCAGTGCTTGGTTGCTAAGAGATCCATTAAGACCACTAGGGCAGTTGCCCATGAGTCGGCCCCTCTCCAGCCTTGCCTACTGCCTGGAGCTGGCTGACCTCGCAGCCTTCCTCTCCTTCCTTCCTCCTGGAGAAACCAAGTCCTACTCGCTTTGGGTGCTTTTCAGAGCTTGAAGATGACCCAGGAATGGTTTCTGTCTTCAAGGACGTTTTGATTGGCTAGAGGAGATCCGAGAGCCTCCAGCAATGGCTTGCCCAGGTGGCCATGTGTGATGTGCGTATGAAGGTGGCACGGACGGCAGGCCAGGTCACCCAGAGAGACAGCTCACCCCGGGGCTTTCAGTCTGTTGGGCAGTGGACAGCGCAAGGGAATGAGTGAGTGACGATGCTCCCATTTGCCTTCAGGTTGTTGGAAGTCTGTTAGAGGCTCTTCAGCCTCTCTCCTTCGTCATTTCTATCCAGCTGGTGGTTGGCACGCGTTCCTTATTTTACGGAATGCTTTGGAAAAGCTCAGTATATCTTGGTTGGAGACAGGCGTCTGGCACCGCGTTTAAGAAGCTGCTCGAGATATTCACATCCCATGTCGGAGGACTCTGCTTTCCATCTGACTTCCTGCTGGTTCGCCTCAGGGGAGGGCACATGATGGTGAAATGCCTCAGATCCTACCGCTGTGAGAGAGCCAGGTCGTGTCTCAGGCTCGCAGCCTCAGCCTGACCCAGCTCCGGCAGTGGAGGGCGTGGGGGGAATAAGAGAAAATTTGCCTTCAGCCAGAAATTAAGCAATAACTGTAGGTTATCACAGACAGCTAGCATCTACAGAGCTGTCTCAAATCTTCTGCTCATTTTTACAATGTTTCCCAAAATAAGTGTTCTGGAGCCCAAACGTAGAAATAGGTACACTTGGATGCACTCCCAGCTTATCAAGAGAGAGTGCACCCTGGGTGGTTGGTCCTTCTAGTCCCTAGCTCAAGGCTCTTTCTCTCAGCCCCTTCTCCCTTACCTGCTCTGCTACTAGCACCATCTTCTCAAATACCGACCCCCGAGTGCTGCCCACCCCCATCTTGCCAGGGACTTCAACAGTCATTGTCTCTGTGAAGTAGTTGCGGTTCTTTTTTTTTAAGATTTATTTATTTTTGTTGGAAATTCAGATTTACAGAGAGGAGGAGACACAGAAAAATCCCCCATCTGCTGGCTCACTCCCCAAGTGGCCACAGTGGCCAGAGCTGAGCTGAGTTGAGCTGATCCGAAGCCAGGAGCCAGGGACCACCTCTAGTTCCCCCATGTAACACTCCGGGTTGTTGGGTAGTGAGTATCTCAGCTACAGTTGTATTCTATTGAGAGAGAGAGAGAGAGAGAGAGAGAGAGAGAGAGAGAGAGAGAGAGAAAGAGAGAGAGAGCGCGAGGTTGAAAGGTGCTCCCCCTACTGGCTCACTCTTCTAAATGACACACGTCAGTCTGGGCCTGGCTGAAGCCAGGAACCAGGAAGTCTGTCCTGGACTCCCACGTGTCTGGCAGGGGACTAATGTCTTCTGCTGCCTTCCTAGGCCCATTGCAGCATCACTGGGCCTGAACTAGCACTTGCTAAGGCTTGCTGGTATCCCTGCCCCGCCCCCACTAAACTCCTTGAAATGAGGAACATTTCTTGCTCATCCTTGTCTCTATAGACAAGTCTAAGGGAGCTGACACAAAGGAAAAACTCAATCAGAACTGTCCCCGTTCGATTTGTGAGTGGGCGTGTGGTGGGCTGAGCCTAGACATACCAGTCTGCCTCAAAAGACTGCACGGATGGGTACGTCAAGCCCAAGACACAGGCGCATCAGATCCTAACCAGCGCGAGATGGGCTTGTTCCTCCACACTGCCTGCTTCCTTCTGTGTGCAGTTTTAATGGGATTAATAGGACAGAAGAGATACATTTCCTTGAACAAGTTGAGGTGTCCAATACAATTTACAGCTCCAAAAGCTGATGTCTGCCTTTCCTGAACGTGGGCAGCCCACATGGTTTATTTGCTCTACTGCCACGAGAGGCTGACAGTCGCAGAGGCAGTCTGAGAAGCGGGTATTTGGGGAACGGCCAAGAAATTCCATGCTGTGTGGAATGATTAGAAAAGTGATCTGCAGATGCTACACCAACGAGTAAGTATGCAAATGGCACTCATGTAATCCACAGAAAGTGGAGTCTTGGGTCCAGTTGCCTCTTAGGTTGGGAAATGTTTTAAGCCCACCACAAGCCTGCAGTGGAAATTATTTTGTTCCAAAGAAGTGACGGCTGTTAAGACCAGAAGCGGGGTGGAGGGACGCACACTCACGTGAGGGAGAACTGAAACGCAGCCAAAGCCCAGCACAAAAGCCGCTGCCAGCGTGTGACATGTGACAGTCCTGCGACTCCCAGCTCCTTCCTCCAGGGATTGAGCACAGTTAGTGTTCACAAGGGGTGGCACGCTCTGTCCAGTGTCTCTTGTAGTCGGGCTGCGTGGCCTGGCCTCTCTTCCATGTGCTGCAGCACCTGGGTGAGCCTACAGGTGTAAAATGGCTGCATCTTCCTCAGCCAGAAGTAGGGCAAGAGACACATCAGATTCCACACAAGCCATGCCACTCTGGGCATCACCACGTGTGGTCTGATTGGCAACATGTGGGAGAGAGACCCTCAAATTATAGAAAGTTGATTAGGTAAGTCATCATTCAGCCAAATAATGGCTGATGTAAGACATTATTAAAACATAACAAATATATTCATATTGGCAAGTGACCCACAAGAGTGCTTTACAAGTATTTACTACCGGGCCCTGTTTTTATTCAAATTCACATGGGTGACGTGAGTGTACACTCAGAATTCTCTGAAGAGCATACACTCAGGGGTTAAACGCGGTTGCAAGCACAATTCACCTTCATGATAGATTTGCAAGGTTGCACAATTGGATGCTAGTCTTTCATTGTGGAGAGTGAATCTAGGGGTTTCCAAAGAGAACCACAGCCTATGTCATCATGCATGAGCTTTGGAATCAGCTAGAAAGCTCTGGATCAATCCTGCAAAGAATGACAAGGACCCCCCCCCCATTCCTAGGATCCTGCATGGCCCCTTTAGACCCAGGCTATGGCACATAGAGGAGGCAAACAGGCTCCAAGGCACCCGTATTGCTGGTGGTGCCAGGGTCTCTCTCTCTCTCAGCCGTTATGACTCCAAAGCTTTGCTTGATCTCCATGTCTTCATCCTGGCTCCGTCGGCTCGCCATCAGTTTTCAAGACTAAA